GGATTTATTGTTGGCTTTGAGAGGAGACATTCAAACCAAGTTAAAAAAAATATATCTTTAAAGTGAAATTCCCATATCGTCTCTCATCAGGGACATTTCTGCTTAATACTTGGTGCCACTACTGAATTTTTCATTACTGCTAAAATCCCTTCAACAGCCTGAACAGATGATAGATTCAGTGCCCAAACCAGGGAGCGAGGAGAAGGCTGCACCTCATTAGCTGGCAGCTCATGCCTGTGCCCTGTCCCAGTCCTGTGCTGTAATTAACTCTCAGTTGTCCAAACCTGACAACTGCAAGGCTTGCTGCTTGCAAAACACTGAGAGGGCAACAGGAGGGTTTCTAAAAATCTTCTCCAAGGCATTCTGTTAAAGATGATTTTCTCTTCCACAAAGAAGGACATGCAGCCAGGAAGAGCACATTTTACCCAGCTTTGTGGTCTCCTCACTCACATTTCCAGTCACTGAGGTTCACTGTTTTCTTCCAATAAATCCCTCTTTTTCTCATGCTACTGCCCAAGTTCTTTCATTCCCAAATATAAAGGGACAAGTAGATGATACATTTTTCATATTCTCAGTATTTCATGTATTCCATTATTCCTGCTGAACAATTCCTCCCAACCCTTCTGTTTGAGCTTCCTTTTCAAGCCCTCTACACCCCTGCAAAAACACATGGAACAGTTCCTCTGCCTGACCACTGCACTGTGAATTTCTAACAGAACACAGGATAGGAAAAAGAATGATTAATTTAGAAAATGTTAGCTGAGCTTATTCACCACATTCATATCCCTGATGTTCTGACTCTGAGCACACAGTGTGCTCATTTGCACAAATCTCATGAGCAGAATATTGATTCTCTGCATAAGTGAAATCTCTGATGACTTCAGTCCTCCAAAGTCATTTGAGCTCTCTCCACCAATTTCCAGTCAAATTTGGGATCAGGCTCTCTCACAGAGGAAATACAAAGGCCTACAAATGTTTCTAGGTGGGATTTTTTTTTTAATAACAAGAAAAGAAAAGCAAATTTAAATAATTTCAATGGCTGCAGCAGTGAAAAGGAAATTGCTTCTACAAACCAGATCTATTTCCTGGTACATATCTTGTGAGACTTTGATATTTCTCTAACTTATTGCTGCCTCATCTGCTTGTATTTATCAACCAAAGCATGCCAGTAGTGACAGTTTTCTCCTTAAGATGGTGAACTCAGAGAATACAGACACAAACAAGTGCTAGTTGCTTCCACATTTAATCTAATAAAGTTGACTGAAACCACACTGCAAAAATTTATGTGATATCAAATTTTTGTAACAAGCACTGCTGCTGTTATAATATATGATGCAAATTAAGTTACAGTACTACAGAGCTGAGTTAATATTTATATTTTCCCCTTTTAATGCTAAGCAACTCCTGACACTTGAATCACATTTAAATGCACTACATTTTCCTCTGTATTTTGGGGACTCCTATTTTGAGGGGAAAATGAGCATAAGAACATTCAGCTGCATGTTGCAGGTACACATTCTGTGAATTATTATTACACAGATTTTTGTCTAATCAAAATATTTCAAAACATTCCAAGTTCACACCTTCATGATACTCGGAGCACTTCCCCCTCCCCCATGAAGAGGCACCGCTGACAGCTCAGTGATGGCAGGGACAGCTCCATCAGGGCAATCACCTTCACTGTAACTACAGGTGTCACTGCAGAAACACAGAGCTGGTGACACACCTGACCTTCAACAAGGCTTTGCTGTGGCTTTTCCTTTCCTCCTGCTTATACAACCTATGAATACTATCACAATCATGAACCAGAGTTGATTTTCCTACCCTAACTCTTGTTTGAATTTTGCTAACCAGACTGTCATTAAACAGTACTAAACCTAACCGTAACACCCAGAATTCAAATGAAATGGGATGGCAGCTACAAGACACCCTTTAGAAAAATGGCAAGAAAAAAACCTCTCTGGATAATAAATCTGAAACAGAGTGACTATATTTCTCACACTGTTTGTGTACAGCTGAAACAATGGGGTCATAACCAGAAACCCATGCAAGGGTTTTGCACTACCACAAGATGAATGAAGTTCTTGGTCTTCTCAATATATCAAATATATGTCATCCTAAAATGCTTCAGTGTCCAACCTGCTACAGTGAATTTCAAAATATATATTGCAGACTAGTGCCATGATTGCTTCATTTTACTTTGGAGGGAAATGGACATGAAATACACCTAATATGCTTTGTAAACATACCCAGCAAAGTCCTGGGAAGCCAGTTCTCAACAAAGGCCATTCAGGCAGGTTGGCAGCTTGTCCCCTGATTTCCTGGTCAGTGTGGGTCAATGTCTTTTATGAAGCTAAAGCTCTTGGGATTTACACACCCCAAATACAATGTACTACACAGATGTTTCTGGACTAAATCCCTCACAGAATAGCTATTCCATAGATCTTCTCAATAAGAGCACCGAGATCGCTAAAATTATGTTTTGTGTACAGAAGAAAAATGAGGTGACTGTTTCAAGCTTTTACCCAGTCCCAAGTATCACCTAGCGTGGTCTCCTTGTTATTCTTAAAGGACACAATGTAGCAGCTCAAGTTTTCTATTCATTGTCAGTTTTAAACATTTTGAAGAGTAACTATTTGCTGCTGGAGAGCAGTGAACCCTCAACAGCTTTCACAGCAACCTTGAACAGACTGCAAGAAAACAAGGCAGAAAGAAATCACGTTGCCCCTTAAAGCACTGACCATCCTGGAAGCACAAAAGGGACCATCAGCACGGCTGTGGTGGGACAGCTGCAGAGGGTTCTGCAGATCTTGTCCAAGAAAGGAAAAAGGAAAAAGTGGAACCACTAAAGCAGCAGTGAAAGGAAAAACTTCTTGTCAGGCACTCTCCGTGCCTGCCTCCAAGTCCCGCATTTTGAGACTACTAGCAAAGGAAACAAAGCTTCAAGTACTCCATCTGTACCCACATATGACTCTGATAAGATATACTTTTAAATTGCTGAGTTCCTTCTGTCATTTATTTACAGATGACAGTAAGATAAGTGAAACAATCACAGGCACTGAAAATATGCCCTCTTTTTACTGAGGAACCAAGAAATACTTTCCCAGGTATCCAGATAGAACAAATCTCCAAATGATGCTTGAAATAAGCAAGGACAAACAAACATTTGTAAGTTTCTCTGCCACATACTGATTAGTCTCTTTCATTCATCTGTGTTTTCCAGCAATTCACCAAAGAAATTACTGCAGCTCTGTATGTCAGACCTGGTATCCAAAAAAAGCTTACATGTCATTTACACACTCCACCATATTCAGTATTTTTCATATGCATAACAATTTTGACTGTGAGGATCTTGCAGAGCAGTGTCCAAAACATGCGGATTTGGGGTCCCACACACTGGCTTTAAAATAGTCGATGCTCTAGCTACATACTGTTTTCGTAAACATGTCTGTTAATCAGTGAATTCCAAGTAACATGCTATTTCAGGCTTGCAGTTTACCAAGAGCTTTCTGCTCTAACTTGAACAAAGGCTCAAACAGATAACATCCAGAGGTCCCTTTCAAAACTAAATTACTTCACAATTAAGGGAAGAAAATAATTCGGATCCAGCCACATATACTCTCTGTTGCTGGAAGAGATCAGCCAGCAGGACATACTAAGGACTGGCAGCTGAATCTCTGAATCTTGCAGGTGCATGAGAAGACCCTTCATAAAATTTCAAACCACATCTCAAAGTCTACCAGGCTGTAACTGTCTACATAAATACATATAAAATGCACACCACCAAGCACACACCCTATAGAAAGTGTGGTGCATAACCTAAGAAAAAGCTACAAAAGAACAAACGTAGGAGACCAAAAGACAAACACATTGTCAGCAAGAGTTTTATCCAGGCTGCTACAAATGCCACAACATGGAGTACATCTAGCTGTAGACTGGGTAAATTATCTGACTACGAATTGCTCTTATGTCAACTTTTTTATTCCAGGATTAGGTTCTACTAAAAATCAAACAAACCTTTCAATTTGGGAGTCTTCCTTATCTACAAAAGCAGCTTCTCTATCCCTGCAGGTAACAGGCCTGAACAATCCCTAGCATGCTAACTTGATAAAAGAACTCAAAGATAATTACTTCTAAGCAGAGAACAAAATATGTACATTCGGAAGGCAATCAATTTACACTGGGAAAAATCGTCATACAACTTGACACAAAGTAACAGGCAACTGCTGAAAGGAAATACCACAGCTTACTACCATTCCCTGCTGCTGAATTCACTCTTAATTTTACCAAAACAACATCAGAGTTCGGTTGATTGAAAGGTGGTAAAAAGCCATTTGTGCTTTTGAACGCTGTTCAATAGATTTTGTAATCAGTTATGAAAACCGGTACATAATCGGTCTCAAAAGCACAATCTTTCGCTACTAAGATACGGGCGATCATTTGGGGTTATTATTTCTTCAGACTTTTTTGTCTGACGCCGCTGAACGGCAAAAGCCGATTTGGAAAGCCGACGTCCAGCTTTGTTCAAGGCTCGCACAAAAGGAAGGCGAAGCACCTTATTCCTCCTCGTACCCTTCCCACGACGACGGGCGCTGCCGCTCGCTCGGGCTGGGGCCGCTCGGCACCGGGCCCGGCATTACAACACCGGGAAGGGAGGGCAGGAGGGAGGGAGGGAGCGCACGGCCGGCGAGCGCCGCGCCGGCCCTGCCCACGCAGGGACCCGCGGGCCCCGCGCCCGGGGCTCTGAGCAGCCAGGCCGGGGCGGGAGGGCCGCCGCCGGCCGCGGCGGAGTCCACCTTCGACGGCGCTGCCCGGGGCCGGCGCAGACCCCGCCGGGCACCGCCCAGGCCGGGCCGCCCGACGGCGGGGAGGGGGCATGGCCGCGGAGGGAGCGCCCCGCGTCCCCCCGGCCGCAGAGGGAGCGGTGCAGGCGCGGCGCTGCCCGGACGCCCCGGCTTTCCCCGCCCGGCCGAGGCCTCCGCGGCGCGGCCCGCACTCACCGGCGGTGGGGGCTCCTCATCCTCCGCGCGGGGACGGCAGGCGAAGGGGGAGGGGGCCCGCTCCCCGCCGCGCTCCGCGGGCCGTTCCCGGGGCCCCGACGGCTCCGCTGAGACGGGGGCGAAGGCGGGTGCGTGTCGGGCGGGGGAGGGCGGGACGGCGCGGAGCGGGCTCGGCGCAGGCTCCGTGTCCCGGCAGGCGCTCCCGGCGCGTCCCTGCGGGGCGGGGCGGGAACGAGCCGGATTCCAATCACTGCAGCCGGGCGCGCGCGCGGCGGGGGCCCGCGGGGAGGCGGGAGCGCGCCCGCCGCCCCCGCCCGTCCATCAGCACGTGCCGTGGGCGGGAGGGCTGGCGGGGCTCCCCGGGAAGAAAAGTTGGCCGGGAGGAACCAGCTGGGCCTGCTTTTCCTCCCCAGGAGCCCCTCCGCGGGCGGGAGCGCGGCCCGCAGCCTGGGCCGGCTTGTATCTGGGCGCCCCGGCCCCGGTTATCCTGCCCCGCCGGCCCAGCAGCGCTTTCCCCGTGAAAAATCTCGTCTAGGAAAGGGCGGGAAGGTGTGAGGGGAAAAGTTGCCCAGCCGGTGTCATGGAAGCACTGCTGGCCTTGAAGAGGGTCGAGACACGAGAAAAGCAGCTGCGGCGGGGTCTGGCTGCAGGGCCGGGAGGCTCCGTGCAGGTGCTGAGGGGTCGGTGCCGCGGAGAGCGGCCGGTGCCGGGGCTCACGGGGACGGGGTGCAGGGCCACCGTGGCACCTTCGGCGGGAGCTCGGCGGGGCTGCGAGTCAGCTGGGACGGCAGCGGCGGAGGGGAAAATGAGGGACTCGCATGGGCCTTTCGGCTTCGTGGAAGAATAGTTCTGAGAAGGCTGACGTTGCAGCGCTGCAGGACGGATAGAGTTCCATTGCAAAGGACAGCGTTGTTTGCTTTTTCCATTTCCTGTATCTAAATAAATATGCCCAGTTAGTTAGATTGGAATACATTATAACTTCTTCAATGAGCTGCTCTGCTTGCTGATAAGGGTGCTGAAGGCCATGATTTGCATTGTATTTCAAAGCTCCTTATCATTAGGACAAATTGGAAAAGTAATAATTTGTCTGTCTGTCTTCAACGGAGGTCTCCCAGCAGCAGTGCAGGAGCTCCAGTGACAGTGTTAGGTGCCCGGCACAGCTCCCACCTGGGCTGCTGTTTTTAACCCTTCACTCGACAGTGTGACCGCAGTCGTGCTGCTGATGTCCTCTTGCCTTTCACCTATCCTGCCAGTTGGTTACTCTGCATCAAGAACTTTGCACACAAAGCCAGCTATGGGGGAAATGAAGGTCACATGCATCGTACAGACCTACTCAGTTTCCCTTTGGTGCACACCAAAACACTCTTTAGGCCTTCAGGACACACCAGTAATTGCTGGTGTGGAGATGACTGCCCAGATAAAGTGTTTGCAGAGAATAACCAGTTGGGAAGCAATCTGGCTTATTGATGCCAAATAGCCACACGTGCATATATTGTGGGAAACATGGCCTTGCTTGTTTTGTTGACCTCTCCACAGTGTATCTCCATTTTTGCATGCTAATATCAGATAGGACTCGTAAATGTTGTGTACTCCACCGCACAGCTGTCACCTCTGAATGTAAGATGAGAGCACTGGCTTTGCATTCTAGCTCACATGCGTTTTACCTACAGATGGTTAGATGAGTGCTTCACTTCTGTATTGTCCTACACAGCGATACAAAAGAGGAAGTGAAACTTCAAACCTATCACCTTCACAGACTCCTTTAAAAAGTAGGCAGGTAAAGGCACACCTAATAATTGTATGTGGCGAGATACTGTGGTGATAGGCATTTGAAAATGCAGGGTCTTGTCTTACTAGACTTTTAGAAAATTTTTTCCGATCACCATCATCCAGAAAAATCTGTCAGTGTCCAAAACAAAGCCAGGCTGCAAGAAAGACAAAATCACAGCTTCCATGCCAAGCAATACAGAACTCCTATGCTTATGTTTATAATTTCAAAGGAAAATATGAGTCTGCTGTTCTTCCACTCTGTGTACTATGAAATTATAGCAGCAGAACAGACACTCAATATGGAAGAAGAATGCAACATGCATGTGTGTGCTCCCAAGCAGAACCAGAGCTGTTAGTGCCAGCATCTCTTCAGTGATCATGTGTGCTAATACAGTCCAGTGCTTGTCAGATGTTAGATATTGATTCCAATCCAGGATGCACGAATTTAGCAACAGCCACTAGCCTTGAAATGGATTTAACCCTTTTTGTGAAATGGATCAACTCTTCTCATCCAGTTCCTGGTGTGTAAATTTGCACATTGAAGAAGTTGCTGTCTCAGCCAGTACTTTTCAAGGCACTTGGGCACTGAAGATACCCACAGGTCCCTGTCAGGTCAGGAACAGTGTGGCTGAGGATGAAGTTTGTATTGCCATGGCAAGTAATGCCCATCTCTACATAATTGACTGCCATTAACTCCTTGTCCTAATCACAAAATAAAGTCAGCAAAAATAAACTATATTATAATAATATGAGGACTGCAGGAGACCAAACTGCATCTTAATTTAAAATGATGAATCATAGTGACCTTAGAAAGTATTTAGAGTGTGATGGATATCTGATTAAACAGCATACAGAAAATACTGATGTCTTTCAAAACATACTTACTGCACAAAAGTGCAGTATTTAGGTTTCAAATATCTCTACCAGGATAGGTAGAGAGAGCTTTTGAAACCAGAAAGTGAACACTTTAGTTGGTGGGCTCTCAGAAAGACACAGGGCTCCAGCAGGCGAGTGAGCAGCAGCAATCTTACCTGGTTAGGATTTTAGGAATCTGCAAAAACTCAGATACACCAGGTTTAGTAACACTGAGTATTTATTTTGTCAATTGAGCCACACTCAAAAAACACTGAAGTCTGAAAACCAGAAAATAAACAAGTTTATTTGACATTTGGCCGAGATATGGAAGTCTAACGTGATATAAAAGAAGCAGTTCAAAACTGACTGTATGATGAAGAGGGCTGTATTTAAAAAAAAAAAAAAGAAAAAGGATTGTCTTCCAGCTGCTTTCATTGTTATTTCCTCCCCAGGAATTTCTTATTAGTTCTTGGAATCACTAGGGAACTGCAAACTTGAAGATCAAAGGAACAAAGGGGTATATATATAGGGAGAAGGTCAGCCATGTGATAGGACTTGATCTTTGCAGATCCTTCTTCCCTTCAGTCTCTGGAATTCAGATGTCTTAAATCTGTGGTCCAAATATATTTTTGAGAACTGTTTGCAATTAGATGAGTATTTCTCTGTTACTGCTACAAAAATAAATATTCCATGTTACATATTAAAAGAATATTGCCCTTCAGCCAGGGACACAATTATTTCACTTAATATGACATGAATTTGGCTTTGTCTCTTTTTCAGAACTATTTTACTTGAAAGCATATTCTTTTGATTATAAATTTATACAGCTGTTTGTTACTTACAAAAGTCATGGATTTTATTACGCTTTTTAAATGTAAGCAAAAAATAATTCAGTAAGGCAGAGTCAAATCTTTGAAGAAATGTGTTTTTAAAAAGTTTTTGCTGGTGGATCACTGGTAGCAAAGAGGAAGCTATGTCCAACCTTGAGTCCAACCAGTCTGGTGTGGAACAGAGTCCGGGGCAGCATTGGAGAGCACTGTGGCAATAATCCAAGGAATAATGCTCCGTGTGCAGAGCACGGGCACGAGGAAACAGGAGTGTTCCCACAGCTCAAGCACTTGGTGTGTTTTGGGGTTACTTTGGGGTTACTTATTCTTCCTCAGCCTTGTGCAGGTGGCCGTGGCAGGAGGAGGACACAATGGCTGTACCTGTCCCCAGCAGCTGCAGAGTGGGAGCTGCTTCCTGGCTGTTCTGTGCTGTGGGGACTGATGCCCCTGCTGTGGCCAAGGGCTGCAGTAATGGGAACACTTTGCTCTGGGGGACATCTTCCCAGTTAAGAACCAGACTTCCCGCTGCTTTTTCTGTTTCTGCTTCCTGTGCCTAGTCGAGCCGTATGATTTTGTTTTTATGGATTCACATTTACAAAACCCTTGTTGCAGTCTTCTCACCAGGTCATAATAAACCCTGAGATAACTCTCCTTTTAAATACAAATTACTTTGTTTTTCTTAAAGTCAGAGCATTAAAAGTCTTATCACAGAAAAAGAAAATATTTGTAGGAGCAGCAGAGGCTTCACCAGGGTGCCTCACTCACATCAGGTTGTTCGGAGAATTAATAATATGTTTTCCCCTAGATGCATGCACATAAAATCCCCAAAGTCTTCAGATGCTCAGAGAAGATTAAGTGTTTTCATTGTAGTGCTGGTTTTAAAATTTATGTTCTGAATTATCAGTCAGTGGTGCCAAATGATCTACAAAGAAGTTTGAATTATACTCAGAGAGAAGCTAAATGTTTGTGTTCCTCCACCTTTTGTTACAAGAGGTATTTGTTTCTTTTACAAGTCGGAATAATCCTTAGATCCAAACCCACACTGCATTAACAGTTCCTCTGTTAAGTCTGATGCTCAGGCTTTGTCCTGAAACTGGTGCACTGCTGAAAGCGGAAATGTTTTTAAAACCTGCTGTTACACAAGGCAAATTCTTATCAATACAGAAAGTTTCTGTCTTGCTGTATATAACAGCTTTTTACTCAGGAGGCATGGATTCAAGTGGATGTGTTTCTGGCAGCTGTAGGAGTGGGTACTGTAGAGATTTACAAAGATGGACATTTATGGGACTGAAAATGCTCTGTTCTTCCAAACCTCTTAAAATGAAACAGATCTGCTCCTATACAAAAGAAATGAATGAAATAATTTCATCACTTCCTGATTTTTTGTCAGTCTAAACATATCTTTAAACATTAATAAATTGCTGTTAAATAAGAGCAAGTGCAGCAACATAGTCTCATTCACTTCTTTTTTCATATTATACTAAAATCAATATGGGACTACAAAATAATAAAAGGATATCCTTGTATTTCAGCCAAAATGTCTGAAAATATATAATGAAGTTAAAGGCATATCAGTTAAGCTTTTCTCTCTTAGTCTGTAAGGTACTTGAATATTAACTGGAACTTGAATAAGTTAAACTCATACAGCTAAAAGAAAATCCCAAAAAATAGTCTATAACTCCCTCTGCTTCCAATGAGAAATTGGCCTGTGTCTGCAAATCTCCTCATTTGGCAGCCACACCTAATACAGTTCAAACTCTCACTGGCATCAGCAAAAAATTACCTGATTAGGGATGCAGGATTGGATCTAAGATAATAGCATATTAAAAATCCACCACGGATTCAAAAGCTACTAATGGAAATGAAATCCCTGGGAATATAAAACATTCCAAGCAGTCGAGCAGTTTCCATTGTGCATACTCAGAATGCTAAACAATAGCAGCTATTGCATGTGTGACCATCAGGAAACACAGCTGTGCTTCTTTGTGTTACAATTAATTACTTCCGTTGTATATAAAATTGAAAGTATTGGTACTCTGGGGCGGAAAGAGGATATCCTGATACACTGCTCCTATTTCCTTACCACGGCCTGTTACTGAATGCTTCACCATTAATTCACTCTCAATGAATTACCCTGCATGAAAAAAGGAAGGGTACATTGGCTGGTTAATTGTTATGCTAAAAGCTACTTTTTCTTTGGATTTTCGCTCTCCTACATTTTTATCTCATTTTACTACTTTTGATACTCATCTCTGATAGTAATTGTTCACTTTTAATAAGTTTCACTTAATAATGAAGGTCTAAAAGAAATATTTTGACTTAAAGATTGTTCTGTTAATATTTAAGTTACAAGATCAGAGAAAGCACAATCTTTCTCACTGTCCTTTAAAGAAATGAACAAAATCATCTCAACTGAAGTATTTGTGGCCAGGTTCTCTGAAGCTGGCACACAGAGATGTAATTTATACCTTTCTGTGCCAGTGAATATTCCTAAACTGGAGG